TATAGACACCTCGCCAGTCCTCCGCATGCACTCCTCTACATATTTGCTTCTGGTGTCCTCCCGTTCCTGCAGTCTCAACCGCAACCCTGGTTGTCTGTGCGAGCTTCGCAGTTGATAATATAGACCAGCTCCGTGAACTGTGTTCCTGCAGTATGTTTGCTCTTCTTTGAATTATCCCATCACCGTCCAGTCAAACGCAAAATCTCCTCCTCGGTCAGATAAGAGGCCCGTTTGACCTTGCAATCCTGCGCCTCTGCACACCGCAAACTCCAGTGTAGCGCCGTACAGGTCGAGCACCCGGTGCTGCAAGGCGTCTGCCCAACCTCCCCTCTATACCCTGCGCGAGGTGCACTGTCGACCTACGACGACAGCCGCGTGTAACGCCCGGCTGCGTTCAAAATGGATCAGGCTCTAGGTTTAGGCCTCAACGGCGTCAACCTTGCAATCACACACCAGGACAAAGTGATTGACCCTCTGCACCGCAGATACAAGAAAATGCGCGGCCAAGTGCCTCAACCCGATCCCGATCTTTACGACAAACGCACAATGGAAGAGAAAGGCCTCGTTCTACGCCGTCGCCGCGATGTAGCCTCGGACGAAGAGATTGTCGAGGTGGTGAGGCACAAGGGGGACATTCTGCCACGACGACCTACTCGGTCGGAGCAACAACGTCAGAGAGCTAGCTCTATGCATAACGGTCGAGATATGGGTGCAGGCGCGGCTGCAGGCGCCGGTGCAGGTGCTCTCGCGGCCCACCGCGACCGTGATCGTGACAGAGACAATTACTATGACTCCGAGGGCTCGGTGCCTCCACGCTCGCGCGTTCGAGCAAAGTCCTCCTCCGGTCGCTCTCGACGCCGCCGAAGCTCTTCAAGCTCCTCTTCATCCTCGCTGCTCTCTTCCACTGAGGAAGAGAAGAACATCCGCAAAATGCAACGCAAGAAATGGCTCACCGCCGCTCTGGCAAGTGTGGCCACCATCCACGCCGCCTCCAAAGTCTATTCTTCCATCGAGTCGCACGATAAACGAATGGAAAAAGTTCGCGAGGGCAAAATGTCGCCGGAGGAAGCCCACAAGCAGCAACGCGCATCTCGGTGGCAAGATGCCGCGGCCATTGGGATTGCTGCATTGGGCCTCAAAGGTGCGGTGAGCGAGTGGAATGAGCTGTCCGAGGAGCACAATCACCACAAAGAATTGCTTTCATTGAAGGAAGAGCATCACAAAAAGCGCATGGAGCGCGAGAGACGCAAGCGCGCAAGGGAACGGGGAGGGTACTACAAGGGACGGGATGGCAAGTGGTACTACGACGGCCCCGAGCCACAGAGCAGTGAAAGTTACCGTGGAAGCCGTGCTAGCGGTGGAGCAGGTGGCCATTACGACGACGACCGGGCGATCAGAGACTCGAATCGCGCGAGAAAGATGTACGACGAAGATGGGGACTTTGATGATTACGATAGCAGGAGATCCAGGTCTCGGCGTGCGGTGAGTCGCGGTCGTGCCAGCGACTACTGATTTCATCATGTCGTCTTTCCCGGTGTCTTTCATCGTCTCGTGCTTGGGAATGCAAGAAGAGATTCTTGTTGGATTCGAGATATACTGACACGCCTTTTTGGGACGTGGAAGAAATCCAGAAGCCCGTCAAGGTCACCGCCCGCTTTGAACAAATACAGAAAGAAGCCGGAAAGGACTCGCACGACCGTTGGAAATTTTGGTGCAGACTTGGTTGAAGATATTATGGGGCTCTGAGTGTTCAGACTTTTGAGCAGCAGTCCGAGACGTCGGACGACACCATGTGTTCATGGATCGCGGCATAGAAACCGTTGTTTGGGTTCTGAATGGCATATTAGAGACGACCAAGTCAAAAGGCAGAGCAGGGTAGGTGGATGAAATCTCGAAAGGGCTCGTATTCGCTTTCCCCCCTCCC